CATGTGGATAAAAATGTATGTGATAGTCTTGTTGGAACACTTTTAGACATAAAGGGTAAGACTAAAGATGACTCAATGTTAGATTGGATTTGGTTGAAATTTGTATACGACCTACATTAGCTCCACGTTGCGGGGATAAGAAAACATATTTGCCTCCGGCTGCTCATACTTTATCAAGAAAGGAGAAAATAAGTTTTTGTGAGTGTTTAGGTGGAGTAAAGGTACCACAATGGTATTCATCAAATATCAGTAGACTTGTTAATATGCAAGATTTAAAGTTGGTGGGGTTGAAGTCTCATGATTGTCATGTCTTAATGCAACAACTATTGCCAGTGGCTGTTAGAGGCATATTGCCTAAAAAGTTGAGATATATCATCATAAGACTTTATTTCTTTTTCAATGCAATATGTGGGAAATTTATTGATCTAGACAAATTAGATGAATTGCAAAATGACATTATTATTACACTGTGTCAGCTAGAGATGCACTTTCCACCTTCATTTTTTGATATCATGGTTCATTTGCTTGTGCATTTGGTGAGAGAGATCAGACAATGTGGTTCAGCTTATTTGAGGTAGATGTACCCATTTGAACGGTACATGAAAGTATTAAAAGGTTATGTTAGGAACCGATATAAGCCGGAAGCATCTATTGTTGAAAGCTATGTTGCTGAGGAGGTTACTAAGTTTTGTACTGAATATTTGGCAGGGGTAGAGGCTATTGGTCTTTCTAAGTATCGACATGAAAGAAGAAATGATGGGAAGGGTACTCGAGGAATCAAAGTGAATACTATGCCTCGTGAAGATGTTGACCAGACACACTTGTACATGTTGCATAATACAAGTGAAGTTGAACCGTATTTAGATGAACACAAGGCCTTGATTAGATAGCAAAATCCCAGAAGGACAGACATGTGGATTATGAGCGAACATAATCGTACTTTTATTAGTTGCTTCAAAAATAAAGTTCTTAAAGAGAATAATGTTTCTGAAACTGTTTCATGGTTAGCTCATGGTCCTGGTTTGGATGTCATATGTCATAATGTATATGACATTAATGGGTTTTCTTTTTATACAAAAGCTCAAGATGAAAAGAGCACTATGCAAAACAATGGAGTTACTTTGGTTGCAAAGTCAATGCATTTCAGTAGTTCGAAAGATACAAATCATGTGTTTGCAGAGTTGTCATATTATGGTGTGATTGAAGAAATATGTGAAGTTGATTATGTTTTGTTTAGGGTGCCGGTGTTCCGAGGTAGATGGGTAGATAATAAACATGGTGTAAAAGTTGATGAGTTAGGATTTACACTTGTAGATTTTAATCGGGAAGGGCACAAAATGAGCAATTCATAATGGCATCACAAGCAAAACAAGTCTTTTATATTAGTGATCCTTGTGACAAAAAATGGTCAAATTGTTCTTCATGAAAAGAGACAAATTACTGGAGATGAGAATGAAGATGTTAGTTTTGATATTAAGGAAATACCATCATTTTCTTCAAGTTTATTGCCCGCTATTGTAGATGATGAGATAGATGAAGTGCGATGGAAGCCCAAGATATTTCCCACAAGATGTCCCTTCAACTATGCCAAAAATTTCAAAGATTACTTCCTTAGGTACTATCAACATTTTTACTAAAAAAGATGGATGACTTATTCATATTAAGTGACTCACCAGAAGCTAAAGCAAAATCTTGGAGTATAGATTTAAGAAAGCTTGCTTATTAAAGGACAAAAATACCCTTACTAAAAATAAGAAAAATCATGAGAAGGACTAAAAATGTCCAAAAAATAATAGTCTGGAATGTTAAGTGACAAAAATCATAATATTTGACTAAATTTGGAATTGCCATTAAAGATAAAGGACCTTTGGAGAATTAACACTAATATTAGTAATATACATATACACCAAGCTAAAGCTCTCCATTTGATAAGACAGGTTAAAAATCCCACCATTTTGACAGGCCCTAAAATTTAAAACTTGAACCGTCGGACATGAAATATTTTGTTAAAAAATGAATGTTGCATAATAATAATAATAATAATAATAATAATATTATTATTATTATTATTATTATTATTATTATAACTGAAGGGGTAAGCCCCTCGATGTCCATGTTGAGGTTTTAAAGGGCTTAGGTTGCTAGCAGCACTCTTTTTGCTATTGCCATTTGGTGGATATGGAGGTGGAGGAACGATGCCATCTTTAACAACACGGAAATGCCGATCACGGCCAAGCTTTCTTGGTTGAAAGCCCAAATGAATGAAATCGGGGCAGCCTATACTAGAGCAAGAGGTACACGAGCACCGCACTGTTAGAAATTATGGAATTTCCGACCACTTGAAAGTGATCTTAAATCAAGTTGAAAGTAAAAAGTGGTTGGAAATAGCAACAAAAGTTTTTCCGGATACCAAAAGTGATCGGAACAAGACATTTGACTTAATTTAAGATCACTTTTATCAGGTGGTCGAAAATTCCATAATTTCCAGCAGTGCCGGAAGATCGATCGCGGAGGCTGCTCTCATGGTCTAAACCGCAAACAGGCTTCATGAAAGTCAATATTGATGGCTCAGTGGATCAGCCCTTTTCCAAAGCTGGGTGTGGGGGCGTAATTCGTGACGACACTGGATCATGGATGCATGGTTTTGCTTATAGCATTGGGAGTTGTTCACCTTTGGAAGCAGAGGCATGGTCTTCCTAAAGGGTATACAGCTGGCTACCTATTTGGGTATTAAAAAGGTGGTCTTTGAAACGGACGCCACCGAATTAGCTAAGTATGTACATAGTGCTTTGCCACCCTCATCCATAGCTCACAGTATCATTTTAGCATGCAAAAAGAGAGCTGCGTCACTTCGAAGTCTGGCAGCTCCAGACTATCAGCCGAGAGCAAAATTCTGCCACTGACTTCATGGCAAGGTTGGCTAGAGGCTATTCAAGGGGCGGGGCTGCACTTTTTTGCGTCACCACCTGGGGAAATTCTGCTATGCCTAAATGGCGCCTTGTTGTAAACAATATTGCCTAACTCTATATCTTTTAGGTATCACCCCTCCTATGAATTTTTTTTTTTTTTTTTAAAGGCTTAGGTTGAGTTTTTTTTTTTTTTTTTTGGTTATTTTTTGTTTTTTTTTTTGTTCTTATTAAATACGGAGTATCTTTCTTCCCCTTTCTCCGGAGTCACTAAATATAGTGTTCCGCGAATGAAGATGGTGTCGCAGAAGAAGAGCAATGGCGGAAGTGAGCATCGCCGGCGTGCAACGACCGTGCATTGTCTGTGTCTCAAAATGGATTACGTCATCGTTTTCTTCTTCTCTTCCTTCCTCACTGATTTCTGATGTGGGAAATTGCAGAGAATTGAAGGTGATAGCAATGAAGCTCCAGACTGTACTGCTGCTGGCTTTGTGCTTGTTGGGCTATGGATATTCAAACAACTTGGTGTTGAACTTGCACCATAAGTATGGCGGACATGAGAGCTCCAACCTGAGCGATTGAGGGCCCACCACCTACGCCGTCACGGCCGAATGTTTGGCGCCGTCGACTTCCCGATCGGTGGAGCTAGAAAACCCAGTGGCGTCGGGTTAGTCCTCTCTCTTTGTGTATGTTTAAATGTTGAATGCTAAAGAAATGTTCAAATATAAATAAATTTATTACCCCAAAATATAAAACACATATATACCTCTGAGCAATGTAGAAGAGCAGATGATGAGTAGCAAAGTGGCCTAGTTTGATGGAAATAAGTTGCCCCTCACTGCGATTCACTACTTCTCTGCAAACTTTATTCCGTGATATATACAGATAATCAAGATCTATTAGATGGTGTTGATTCCACAAGTCCACATAGCGCCACATGGAGGGAATAGTGCTCACACTACTCGTTATTATATAAATTATATTCAAACAACCAATTATATATTCAAATTTCAATTCAATTCTTTACTCACACTAGTCAAGCTTAAGCTCCATAGCTCATTTACCCCTCTAAATTCATTGAGTCAAGTTCAAGTAGCTCATTCAAAATAGTTAATTTTGTTTAGTTAATATCACAAATTGTCCTTTGACTATTGAACTTGTATTCATATCAGTATTGCACTTTCAATTCGACCAAAAACATACATTTGACTTTCATTTTTGCCAAAAAATAATCACCCCTTAGAAATTCTGTCAAATTGGACACCAAAATTGATCAAAAAAATTCATTTATTAATATATTTTAAGCACAATGGTGCCAAGAAGGGTCTCAATACTCGTTTATAAATATAGTTGGTGTTTAAAAAACAAATAAAAATCCTTCAAATTCATGTATAATGTCTTCAAATTCTTCTACTTCATAAAGGCAATAATATTATTATGCTGATTTCATTACAATTCATTACTGTCAATATTGTAATAAGTTGAGTCTTTAAAGATCCTAGGCTAATGAATATGCCTTTGATTTTACATAATTAAATATTTAGCAACAATATTTTAAAAATTAATTTCGTACAAACAACTTTACAAATGAAAGCCACAAATAAAAATGTATCTCATTTTATTTAATAAAAAAAGTGGACACAATTTTTTCAAAAAAAAAAATAATAATAATAATTTTATTCTAGAAACCTTAGCTAGAATATTACAACGTAAAATAAAAGTGCATCACAAAAACATACTTTTCTAATTAGATGTAAGTATGTATAGACCACCACCACTTAGAAACATTTTTCACCTTCAACCAACACAAATATACCACAAAATAATCACCAATTTGAATTAATAATTTGTAGGCCTTCCAATTTGTCTAGCATCTCTTTGCAATGCTTTAAGCTTCTCATTGATCCTCTCCAAGAATGCGAGAATTATTTTCTTAGATCTTGGATACATTGATGGGTCAAACTACTAACAAAATTCACAATTGCGCACTGCATATACCACCAACAATATTTTTAAAAAAAAAAAACAAAAAAAAAAAACAAAAATTAAATGATAGATTTATTTTAAAAAAAAAAAAATCTTCCAAGATTATCATTAGTCCCTGATGTTTAAAGGGCGCATAATGTGTAGACTGGGTTCACAGACCATGTCTATCCAATCTATGGGTTCACAGACCATTTCATCAAAGTCATCTGAGATATATAAATAAGGATTTTGTAAATAAGCGGGATAATCGTCAGTGTAGTTCAAGTCCTTAATCTGTAGAGAGCATCTCTTCCACAACTCCCCTTCAAGCCTAAGATAATCACAGTGGTGTAAGTTGAGCGATTGAAGGAGAGGACAAGCATCAAGGATGGCCTCCAAGCCTTTTTCTAACATTTCATTTCCATCAAGTGTAAGGTGTTTCAAGCCATGCATGTTTTCTGCAATGGCAACAGCCTCCCCGTCATCAGATGACTCGTCTCCACTAAGATTCTTGATAAAGGAAAATGAGTTGAGGAAAGGGCAAGACCGTCCAGCAGCTTCAATTCCCCGTATAGAAATGGCAGTGTATTTAAGTTGTAGCTCTTCCAATAGTGGAAACCCTTTCACAGCTTTACTAAAACCTCTATCAGAAACATCTCTGGACCTAATACCAAGATGTCTCAGCTGTTTTGCTCTGTATAACAACAACAAAAAGTACATATATACATACGTACTAACGTTAAGGAACATGTACAGAAAGAGCTTGATAGGGATTAAAAGGAAACAAGAAACATATAATTGCAGACACATGAGCGGCATATTCTCACCTAAGAAAATGTTGTCATATGATCTGAATACATATAAATTTATTGCCCAAAAATATAAAACGCATATATACCTCTGAGCAATGTAGAAGAGAAGACGATCAGTAGCAAAGTGGCTTAGTTTGATGGAAATAAGTTGGCCCTCACTGCGATTCACTACTACTCTGCAAATTTTATCCCAGTCCCGTACTTTACCCGGCTCAGCTTCTAGATTCCACAAGTCAACATAGCGCCACATGGAGGGATCTTGCAATAGCCTCCACCAGACAGTACACACCTGTGCGCTCTGGAAAATATCCTCCACACTCAGCCTCTGCAGAATGTTTGCCGTTACCTCCCGCGGAAGATCCACCCACGGCACCGCTGTATCTGCCATTGTCTGTACTGGTCACTGGCGTGGTGTTAATGGAGCTGAGGATAATATCGATTATCTATATATACTAGCACGGAAAGAAACTCGATCGACGGGATTCACGGGAATTTGGCTATGGGTGTTGCTATTTGCACCACCCATTGACTAAAATGAGGTATAAAGCACTTTGAAAATGTAAAAAGGTAGTAAATATGGGTGGTGCAAATAGCCTAATGGGTGGTCAAAATGCTATTTGCACCACCCTATTAAATTTACAATTATGAGGTCAAAATGTAATTTAAAAAAAAAAAAAAAAAAAAAAAAAAAAACGGAGCAGCCAGCCGCCATTTTTTTTTTTTTTTTTTTTTTCTGCCTCCTTGTCTTCCTGGTCCATTTTTTTTGTTTTTCGATATATGTTTATTTTAAATTTATGATTTCAATAGATAGTTTTTTGAACTTGATAATTTTGATACATATATTTTGTAAATTTACAATTTCAATTCATATTTTTTAGTTAATATTGTTGTTAGTGAAATGAAATTACGTGTAGAATGAATGGCAAGGAATCCAAAAGACTTAAATGGCTCTATATATATGTGGTGTGTGTGTGTGATGTACATGTCATACAATCAAAATCAAAATCAAAATTCGTGTGTGTGTGATGGACGGTTGGATAGATAATTTGTTTAGCTACAACGATCAAAATCAAAGCCAATTTCTTAGTTACAATGGTCCAAATCAAAATCAACAACATTACGAGGTATTTTAATTTTTTTTTTTATTTGAATTGTTACTGAAATGTTACAATTGAACTTATGTATATTTGTTCATTGCTTTTATATATTATTTAAAAATTTAAGTTCATTGCTTTCATATATTATTTAGAAATTTAAGTTCATTGCTTTCATATATGTTCATTAATTTCATATATATATATATATATAGATATATATGTGTGTGTGTGTGAACTTAGTAAATTGAATATTACGTATTATTTATATATTCATTGCTTTTATATATTATTTAGAAATTTAGATATGTATATTTATTTTTGATTAGAAATTCATTGCTTTAATATATCAATATTGAATATATTATTTTGTCTTTATATATTAAGAGTTGTTATTTGTTTGTTTGTTTAGGACGAAAATGGTTGGTGTAACTTCGACCAACATGACATTTTGCATAGCGTTCGCCTTCATGCACAAAGAGAATGAGTCCAATTATACTTGGGCATTAAATTGTCTCAAAGCCACAATTGAGAGATGCATTACCCCGCGTGTTATCGTCACGGATCGAGAGTTGGCATTGATGAAAGCATGTAAAAATGTGTATCCGGATGCTAAAGGATTACTTTGTAGATGGCACATCTATAGAAGTATTTTGAGAAAGTGCAGGGCATCGATCCCCTCAAGCCACCCGTGCAAATAAATGTTCGTGGGCGTCCCACTTCAAAAAACAAATCTCTCATAAGAACTCTATCTCTCAGAAAAACTAAAGCCGAGCCAAATAATATTCAATTTCAAGAACAAGCTCGGAATAGTTGTTCAGCTGCACCAACTTCAGGTGATAGACACTTTTACCATCCATATATGCTTCAACTTCCGGTTATATTCCATCCTTTTATCATGCAAGTGCAAGATGTGAAATCTGACGGAAACTGTGGATTTCGAGCCGTAGCTCTCTGTCTCGGTTTTAAGGAGGACGAATGGTTCAAAATTCGATCCAATTTAATCGAAGAACTAGAGTCTCACACAATGGAATATACCGATATGTTTGGAACTCAAGGATGGTATAATGCCTATAACATGTTGAATTTTTTTGCACAAGATCGGTGTGCACCAGTTGAGCACTGGATGACTATGCCGGAGATGGGTGTACTAATTGCTTCCCGATACAATGTGATACTACATGTTTTGAGTATGGCCGGCAGTACAACATATTTACCACTTCGATCTAGCCCACCACCTTGGTACGAGCATGTAGCAATAACCCTTGGTTATGTTAATAATAACCATTATGTCAAGGTAACATTGACAGGAGGGTACCCAATGCCTACAATTGCTCCACAATGGGCTTATTTTAGATATGATTGTGCAAATGCATGGATGACTCCATATATGAATATGATTGAAAGTTACAATGAGCATGTACGCTCTAATTGTACTCGGGAAAATGTTATATTAGATTGAAATTGAATGAATTTATTTTTTATTTTATTTTTATTGTGAAGTTAATATATTTTTACAATTTTTAGCGATTCAAATTTTATTTATTATATCTCTATAAAAAAAGATAAAATAATGAATACAACAAATTTAAGTTATAAAAAATATTAAAATAACAAAATTAATCATTATTTTGAATTTAAAAATTAAACCATAAACAAAAACAAGTATTGAAAATAGAAAGTTAAAAAAATTATATTGAACAAAAAAACAAGTATTGAAAATAAAATTTAAAAACATATGTATTGAAAATAAAAATTTTAAAAATAATTACACAAATAATTTAAAAAAAAAAAAAAAAGGCGATCATTTTTTTTTTAATGTTTATTGTTAAAAAATAATAAATAATAAATGTTACCACCTACTTTGACTACATTTATTTGCACCACCTACTTTGGTATTTGCACCATCTATTTGACCTATTAAATAGGTGGGTGCAAATAGTAAATAGGGTGGTGCAAATAGAACTTCCCTTTGGCTATACAAGATTCCATTTATTGTAGCCTCTTTGGAAGTTTAAACAATTTGCCGTGTTTGGCAAGAGATATGATCATCTATTTGCATTACCAAAAATATTAATAACAAGTTTTTAAATATAGGGAAAATTGTAAAAAATGCCCCTCTATAATGTGCCAATTATCAATGTCACCCCTGAATTATGAGTGGTGTAAATGTTGTCCCTCAATTATCAAAATGGTGCACATATAGCCCTTCCCGTAACGAACTTGTGGTTCCCCACCGCTGTCCATCGCTGGTACTTCGAATCGAGGGAGGGAAAAAACAACTAAATTACATATTTACTCTGACTTAATGGTGTCGTACACTAACGGGGAACCACATGTCCGTTACGGGAGGGGCTATATGTGCACCGTTTTAATAATTGAGGGGCAACATTTACACCACTCATAATTCAGGGGTGACATTGATAATTGACATATTATAGAGGGGCATTTTTTACAATTTTCCCTTAAATATATATACGCTACAATTTTTACGCGTAATATAATGACTAATGACTTTTGGAGTTTCATTTGCGCACGGGCAAATGGTCCACACAGTGTTATGTGGACAACAACAAAAAGTACATTTTTAATATACTAAATGTACATTATTTTTGTACTGAATGTACATTATACAATATAATGTACACTCAGTACAAAAATAATGTACATCCCCTAAATACAATGTATATTATTTTTGTGCTGAATGTACATTATTTTTGTACTAAATGTACATTATTTTATAGTATACAAAATATGGTCCACACAACTTGTATGGACCATGGTCCACATAATAATGATTGATGGAGAACCTAGCGTCGAATTGTGGATTCTCAAACGTCTATAGAAAACGGATTTGATATTTCGTTGTTGCACAATCCTATGACTCCATTGTACCAATCATTATTGTGTGAAACATGGTCCACACAAGCTGTGTGGACCATATTTTGTATATTGTAAAATATTGTACTTTTTATATATATCCCCAACACAAGAAGTGCTATACAAGTTAGGGTACATAGGCATGATAGTTTAGAGAGAAGAGGTGCAGAAACGATCAAGTGCAAAGAGCTTGTGTTTCATGATTAAGATGTATGTGTGTATGCTCTATTATACTCTATGGAATATAACACACTTCACAGTATAATAGCTTTGTTATACTATAATGTAACACCATTCACTGCACCGTAAATAACACACTTCACAGTAATATAAGACACTTCACTGTACCAAGTATTCACAATACACTTCGTAGAGGACTTTCCTTCACAAACATATTCACAAAGAATATGTTTCAAAGTATGCTAACAAGTTTATGGAAGGGCAAGTTTATTCAGTCAATTTTTTTTATGATTAGTAATTTCTACACGTACAAAACAAACCTTAGTATATGTTGAAATTCTATTATAAGATAGTGGTCAAAGAGCACAAGGATATAGTGTTTCCAAGGCATATATATCGATTACCGCCTTTGTCATATTTGAAAGAGAAAACAGATATTAATGAAAAAGAATTGATTGGTAAATTTCATTTTTACTCCGTATCTTTTATGGTTCTTAATCTTATGTTATATTTTATTTGTAATTTTTAATAGTGTAAAATGTTATAGGGAGAGCGGTTGAGATCTATTCTCCCCAAGCGAAGGTTATTGCAGGAAAGTCTACCAGGCTAATTGACTTTCTATTTGATGATTCATAGTAAGTTTTTTTAATGTAATTTTTTGGTCCATTATATAGTTTACTATATTCTTAACATTAAGTTAACTCATTCTTTGTCTCTGGTGTAGGGATAATCAAATTAAGTGCACAATTTGGGATGACCACATGACAAAACTTAGGGTGTGTTTGGTTGGTGGGTTTTGCCCATAGGAATGGGTATGAAAGTGATTGTTGTTGTTTGGTTGATAGGTTTTTAGAACACTACTATGGGTTTCGAATACCCCATCAATTGAAAAATTCATACCCAAATACAATAAGGGTTTAATTCCTTTATTCATTCTCAAGCACTGCTATTAGTAACCATTCCCATTCCACCCTACTACCAAACATGTTAAATATTTTCACCAAAACCCATTACCATTACCAAGTATTTGATACCCATACGGATTCCGATTCCTATGTGCGAACCAAACACACCCTTAATAATTTTATAAGTCTAAAAGACATGATCCTGTTATCATTCTACTGCAGTTTTGTAGGGTCAAGGTTTGCTTGAATAGTAAGATGATCAACATACTCTTAACAGTTATTTTCTTTTTCACTTGTTCCTGTTAAACTTTTCTAAGTTAAAAATTTTATCAAACATGAAAATAATTTTTTCACATTT